TGTGTAATGGATGAGACTAGTGTCCAATTGATTGAATTAATAACTAGAAATACATCAGCAATGGTACAAGTACATTAAAAGGTGCAGTAGCAATACCTGGTAAGGTCTGTACACTGATTGTACTAGCAGGTCCCAGTAATTGTTGATAGGCTCTGACTGTGATGTTATAAGTTGTTCCTCCTCTCAGTCCATTCAGTCTGATTGTATTATTACTACTTCCTTCCACCTGTACTGTCTGCACAGTGCCAGTGTCACTAGTGACATTGACTACATATCCATCAGCATCAGATGAATCAAGTGCAGTCCAACTGACAGTGATAGCGGTAGTTGTCTTGCTGACCTCAGTAAGAGAATAGGGAGCAGTTTCTGGTACTAATAGAGACATGCATAATTATTATTGGTAAAAAGTGTATTCACAAATGTTACCTTTTATGGTTAAAGTACGTGTTCTATCATCACCAGCACTAGGATTATCCAGTACACACTGATACATTTGATCTCCAGTGGTTGATTGACTGATTGATCCACTACTGACATTCATTCCATCCCATGTGATATTAACAGTATATCTTATTGTGTAGCTAAAACTAACTAACTCAGTACCAGGACAATTACTAGATCGATCATCACAATTAGTATAACTAGCCAATGCAGTACTACCAATGTTCACACTAATACCATCATACAGAAAGAATCCAATTTTACTACAATTTAGTTTGTATTCCTGAGGATATACTGTCATATCAGAAGGAAGATCAGCAACAGTAAATGATTCTATCTCTGCAAATCCTACAAATGAAAATTATTACATCAGTAAGTGATTATAGTCTCCTCTTACTGAATATATTAGCAAAGATGATGTTAGTGTTAGGATCTGAACAATCAGTGGGTAGACAACACTTGTACCAGCCTTCTTGAGATGCTGATAGTCCCTGAGCAAGGTAAAGATTGATAGTGGCATCAGGTGAAGTGACATTAGTACAACGAAAAGGATCACTGTCATTATTACTGTTACAGTCAACAGGATCATCAGGATCAGCAACTCTAACCCACTGACCAGTAGTTAGACTAGTACCAGGTAACACACATGATATAGCTTTAGTAACTTCATTGACACTACTATCCCAAAAATAGGATCCATTAAGATAACAGTTTTCATTATATGCTAAATAGATACCTATAAAATCAATATTAACTTCATAATGATCTAGATTAAAATTAAAATACCTTTTTGCTGACAATGAGTGAAAGCACTGATTGTAATAGCAGGTCCCAGTAATTGTTGATAGGCTCTGACTGTGATGCTATAAGTTGTTAGTTCTCTCAGTCCATTCAGTGTGATTGTATTATTACTACTTCCCTCCACCTGTACTGTCTGCACAGTGTCTGTGTCACTAGTGACATTGATTACATATCCATCAGCATCAGATGAATCAAGTGCAGTCCAATTGACAGTGATAGTGGTAGCTGTCTTGTTGACCTCAGTAAGAGAAGAGGGAGCAGTTGCTGGTACTAATAATTTTTATTGGTATCAAAATTATTGGCATTATTCATTGACATTACCTTTTATAGTTACATTACGCATTCTAATTTCATTACTATCAGGATAATCTGCTAACATGCACTGATACATTTGATCTCCAGTGGTGGATTGACTGATTGATCCACTACTGACAGTCATTCCATCCCATGTAATATTAACAGTATATCTTACTGTGTTTTCAACAGCACCATTTAACACAGTACCACCACAATTATTATCAAAATCCAAACAATTAGTGTAGTTAGCCAGTGCAGTACTACCAATGCTCATACTAATGTCATAGTGAAAGAATCCAATTTTAGTACAATTCAGTTTGTATTCCTGAGGATATACTGTCATATCAGAAGGAAGATCAGCAACAGTAAACGATTCTATCTCTACAAATCCTACAAATGAAAAATCATTACATCAGTAAGTGATTATAGTCTCCTCTTACTGAATATAGTAGCAGTAATAATGTTAGTACCAGGAGTTGAACAATTAGTGGGTAGACAACACATATACTGACCATCACCATCTGCCCCAAGATAGCCATTAGCTGGATTTATGTGAACACTGAGACTAGCACCTGACCCAGTGGTACATTGAAGATTTTGAATGTTACCACCATCACAAGGAACTGTTCCATTAGGACCAATCCATTGTCCATCATAAAGAGTAGCACCAGGTAATCCACACTCTAGAGGAGTTGGTCTGATACTTCTGTCAGTAAAAAATGATCTATTATTAGTATAACAGTTTCCATTATGCCTCAGGTAGATACCTATAAAAACCTATACAATTGTTTTTATGCACATCCAGTGTCTTACCTGAGGAAGGTGGACATTGACTAATAACTTCACTGACACTTAACAAGAAGACAACCACTTGTAGTGAAAGCATTGTTGACCAAAGAAATGCCTGTGGGTGTGTTAAATGTTAATGTGGTAGCTCAGCAGATAGTTTTGTAAATAGATACGTCCACTCCCTGTGTGTACATAACTGCATGATTTAAAAATAGCAGCAACAATACTACATGATGTTAAAGGGATTTACCATATATATTACAATACAAGAGAGACCATTTAGATTTGCTGTGTAGGTTTAAGAGCCTGTTGTGTAGATTATACATGTACATATTCAAAAGAAAAACAATGAAAGGGAGTCCACCATGGTTGCATGCTCTGCTCAAAAATCAGGAAAATACCAT